CCAATGAAATAGTACTGGAGGAAGAAGGCTACCAAATTCTTTAGATGATGGCTGGGGAATTCTGGGAGTTGAAGTTCACACATCTTGAAAGTTTATTGAGATAGAAAGGTTGTTTCCAGTTCGAAAGCTTTGCACCCGCCAACTGCTACCTTTCAGAGAGCAATTCCAAAGAAAATAAAAACCCATTAATATATAGGCAGTCCTCAACTTACAACTGTTCATTTAGTGATCATTTGAAGTTCAAATGGCCCTGAATAAGTGACTTATGTCCGTTTTCCACATTTATGACTGTTGCAGCATCCCCATGGTCACATGGTCAAAATTCAGATGTTTGGCAACAGACTCATATTTACGACGGTGTCCCGGGGATCACACGATCCCCTTTTGCGCGCTTCCGACAAGCCAAGTCAATGAGGAAGCTCGATTCACTTAACGACCATGTGACTCACTGAACCACCATGGCAAGCAAGGGCGTAAAATGGGGGCAAAACTCACTTAGCGACCTTAGCAGCAGGAAAATTTTGAGCTCAGTTGTGGTCGTAGGTTGAGGACTTACTTGCACAGCAACACACACAGGACCGATGCCTTACCGTTGGATTAAGTTCCCACGTTTTCAGGCGCAATTCTGTTTCTGTGGCTAGGACCTAAACGATTTTTTAAAAGGATATTATTTAAGCAGAGAGAGCGTTTTAAAAAGAGGTTATGTCAGACAAAAATCCGTTCCGTGATCTTGATGGACAACCCAATTGTGTGCCTGATGTAGAAGTCCCAGATACAGAACAGAATTGGGTATGTCTAATTTAATGAAAAGAAGGACCAGGGGTGACATGAGAGCAGTCTTCCAATATTTGAGGGGCTGCCCCAAAGAAGAGGCAGTCAAGCTATTCTCCAAAGCCCCTGAAGAGGCCGGACAAGAAGCAACGGATGGAAACTAATCGAGAAGCAACTTGGAACTAAGGAAAAAAATTTTGACGGTGAGGACCATTAATCAATGGAAAAAGTTGCCTCCAGAACTTGTGAATGCTCCAACACTGGAGGTTTTTAAGAAGAGATTGGACAGCCATTTGTCTGGAAGAATGTGTGATGCCCCCGGGGCGCGACACAAAAATAACAAAATCGCAAAAGTAGAATTCCCTTTAAGGCCTCCAACTTGGCCCCCATTGTCCAATTATCCTCGGACGGAGATCAAACTCTTCCAAAAACAAGTCTACAAAGGGAGGAAATGCAGTTGAAACCCAAAGTAAAGATAATTAGAAATAAAATAAAAAACACAAACCACACGGAAGTCATTAACACGGGCAAGCCAGGATGATAAATTGCAGACTTTTAAAAAATAACGCAAGCATCCACAGTTTGGAGGACGCCAAAACCCAGATAAGGCTCGACCAAGATAACGCACGGTTTGCTTCCAGCAAGGAGCTGTGTGCAAACGCCCCGCTTATATATCCTGTTCTCCCAGCTGCAACTAATGAAAGGGATCAGGCCCTCTTCCTCTCCCATAAGCCATGTTGCTCCCTTCTCCATTCCTCCCTGTGTGCCCTAAGATGAAGAAGGGGGGGGGGTCCTGGATCTTCCTCTGAAGACCCAGCCGGCTTGTGCCCTTCCCCCATTTCTTTCACAGCCCAATCTCCCCCTGCCCTGTCAGACTCCAACAAGGGCATGACAGAATGGTATATAAGATCACCTGCTTGAGCAAGGGGTCAGACTAGAAGAGCTCCAGGGTCCCTTCCAACGCTGTCATTCTCTTATTCTGCTTTTCTGATGCATCACACATGCTAAATCTATATGCCGTTGGTTTCTGAATAAGGCCTGTCTTCCCTTTTCGGGAGGGAGGGGGAGGAGAAAGGGGCGAGGGTTCCCATGGGGGAGATTGAAAAAGGCCCTTTGCAAAGGTTCTGGGTGTTTCCCACACGTTATTCTATTATTCGGATTAAATTCTTGGAACCTCGAGTTGAAAGGATGACAAACTGGCGATGGGAACATGTGTTACAGGAGAGCAGTGTTAGGTATAACATAGGTCACCTAACGTAGTTTGGGTAAAATAATATATATAAGCTATGATTGTTAGTTTGAGTGTGTGTCACTTTAACTGCAAAGCATGTATTTTTGGGTGTGGTGTGAAACCACCATAAGAGGGAGCAAGACATTGATTGATTGCTGATGAGACGCTGACAGTTTGCTGGCAATTACTGACAATTTACTGGGTTGCATGGTTTGTTAGCTGCGTTTTACCCCTACTGAAGAGTTGCTGATAAGAAGAGAGGAGTTTTTGAGTTCTGCATATCTCTCTACTGCGAGGAGATATATCACCGGACTGATATTTGTAAGTGTACTGACCTCTCTTTTTCGACACTGGAATTTGCAAATGAATAATCCCTGGACGGACTGAACTAAGTGAATGATATATGGACTGTTTTGACTATGCTTTAACTCTTGCTGGAATAAAACTATTTAATTAACACTTGTATCTGTTTTTACTGAGTGTAAGCTACACAACGTTTATCTCACACATATTTTGCCTGCCTGCCTGACTGCCCTGCAGATCTTGCTAGGGTATATCCCTAACAAGCAGCTTACAGGGGGGACCTCAGAGCCCCAGAGAAGAGAAAAAACTCACCGCTTGGCACCTCATCCAAAGCGTGATGCGGAGCTGCCTCTTGCAACTTCTTCCTCCTTTTCCACCTGGAAAGAAAGATTTGCTCCGTTGACTGAAACCTGCCCTCCCCACCGTGTGCAACCTCGAGAAAATAACAACAAAGCAAAGAAAATATATCTTCTAAACGTTCACGACAAAACGTTTGCAGGCAGGATAGGGAACTCCCTAGCTAAACGCGCAGGGATTGGCTCAAAGTCTCACAGGACCAAAGGTGATCCTCGGAGAAGCGACGGGAGGTTGCTTTGCGGGTCGCAAACCGCCGATAAACCATGCAGAGAATGGCGAAAGTTTCACCATCCTATTTCCCCGAAAATAAGACTCTGTCTTATTTTATTTTTTTGCCACCAAAAAAAAAGGCACCAGGTCTTATTTTCAGGGGATGTCCTCCACTGACTAACTTTACCTGCGCACATCGCCCCCGGCCTCCTTTTCGCAGTCAGAGGCCTTCAAGAACTTCTTCTTCTGCAGCCAGCAAGGCTTCTCTGAAGGCTTCTGCAGCCAATAACAGACCTCTGGATCAATCCAGAGCTTTGTTACCAGCTCCAGACGCCTTCAGGAAAGCCTTGCCAGCCTTACCGGCTGCAGAAGAAATGGGCTGGCGAGGCAGATGTCGAGGAGGTGCGAGGCCTGGCTACAACTGCCCAAAGGTAAGTAGTAGGGTAGCTCCACCACAACCGATATATCCCCACCCTAGCTTAATTTTTACCCATCCACTGTGGAGAGGCCAGGATCTTAATTAGGGCTTATTTGGGGGGGGGGTAGGGCTTATATTGGGTGCATGTGTAAAAATCAAGCTAGGACTTACTTTCGGGGTAGGTTTTATTTTCAGGGAAACAGGGTATATAAACACACAACCTGCCTGGGCGTGGATTTTTCTTTGAAATTGCTAAAGCAACACTGGTTGTCCCAAAGTTGAGCCCCAATTAGAAGTCAACCTGAAGAGTGATCTTCAAGAAATATAGGCAGTCCTCGACTTATGACCACAATTGAGGCCCACATTTCTGTCGCCAAGTGAGAAATACGTTCAGGGAGTTTGGTCCCATTTTACGAACTTTTCTTGCCGCGTTTCTTAAGCGAATCCCTGCCGTTGTTCAATTAGGAACACGGTCTTTAAGAAAAACTGGCTTCCCCCTTGAGTTCGCTTGTCACAAAAGAGGATCACGTGACCCCTGGGGATGTTGCAACTGTCATAAATATGACTCAAGTGCCAAGTGTCTGAATTCTGATCATGTGACCATAGGGATGCTGCAACCGTCATAAATACATGCCAGTTGCCAAGCGTATGAATTTTTGAATGGACGACAAGGTGGTGCAACCATCATTAAGTGTGAAAAACAGCCATAAGTCACTTTTTTAAAGTGTGGTTGTTGCTTCAAACGGTCACTAAGTGGACGTGTAAGTCGAGAACTATCTGTATACAAAACCTTAAACCTCAGTCCTTTCACTCTTGGTGTTTATGCTGGCTACGTAAAACTGAATGCGGGGAAGGAGGTGTTCTGAGCCAGCTCCCCAAATACGGCAAAGCCTCTGACGTGAACTCAAATATGCCATTATTAGGAATGCTGGCAGTCCCGGCAAAATGTTTCTCTCTCACCGCAGGCTAACAAGTCTGTCCGGCTGGAAGATGAATAGTTGTCTGTCACACCTATTCATCTCCGACCCCTGCCTTTCATCCCCAGAGCTAGGTGGGGCTTTGCTAGCAGTGGTGGCTCTTCCGTCCCAAGGACTGGCCTATAGATTTCCACTGCTCTCCTCTCCTCTGCCTTCTGTGCATCAGGCACTGGACCCGGCTGTTCCTCCTCTTCCTCATCAGCCACTTCCTGACCTGGGGGCTGTTGACTCTCCATCTGAAGGCTGATGGGCAGCCCAGGGTCCTCCTCTCTCTCTCTCTCTCTGTCTCTGTCTCTCTCTGTCTCTCTCTCTCTCTCTGCCAGTTCCATTCCCCTTGGAGCTCCCATCCCAAGGACCGGCCCATAGATTTCCACTGCTCTCCTTTCCTCTGGCTTCTGCACATCAGGCACTGGACCAAGCTGTTCCTCCTCTTTCTCATCAGCCACCTCCAGACCTGGGGGCTGTCGACTCTCCATCTGAGGGCTGATGGACAGCCCAGTGTCCTCCTCTCTCTCTGTCTCTCTGCCAGCTCCATCCCCTCTTCCCCCTTGGAGCTCTCGGGTTGCCCTGATGCTGATCCTGGATCCCATGCCTCCTCCTCCTCCGATTCGTCTGCTGGAGGGGTCGGCGGCTGACAGGCCACAACAGGAGAGGAAAGGAACAACTATGACAAAAAGCTGAGGGAAAAAACTCCGCCCTGTCCAAATTTTAACAAGGCACCATATCTTGACATTTACCAGTGGGCGAGGAAGACGAGAGGTATGAAGAACAGGGCCAGCAGGTCTGTGGTGACCCAGATGGCTTTATATTTCTGTGGCGTCTGTAAGAGAAGAGCCAACAAAAATGGCATCAGTTGGCAAGACAAAACAGGGTGAAATAGAATGGAATGGAATAGAATAAAAAATTAGGAATAGAGAATAGAATGGAATGGAATGGAATAGGAATAGGAATGGAATGGAATAGGAATAGGAGTAAGTAGGGAATAGAATAAGGAAGAGGAGAGGAGAGGAGAGGAGAGGAGAAGAGAGAAGAGAAGAGAAGAGAAGAGAAGAGAAGAGAAGAGAAGAGAAGAGAAGAGAAATAAAATGGAATGGAATGGAATAGAATAGAATAGAATAGAATAGAATAGAATAGAATAGAATAGAATAGAA